AGTGGCCAGAGTATTAGTGTTTATAGTACTGTGTACACGCTGTTGACTGTACTGTGTACACGCTGTTGACAGTACTGTGTACACGCTGTTGACTGTACTGTGTACACGCTGTTGACAGTACTGTGTACACGCTGTTGTCTGTGATAAGCCACTTTATGATATTTTTTTTCCCTTTTTCTTTCTTTTGGAGAATATAGTATGACTGCTTTTTTTTTGCTGTTTTTATTGTGGTCATCGAATTTGCTTCACATTTAATATTCAGATTTTGTTTGTGACATTATTTGTGACTCCTTTCATTTCTTGTAATAAATGAATGCACAAAACTTTACAAGAAAAAAAGGGGAAGACTTCCTTTCACATAAACTGGGGGAGGTTTTCAGAAAGGGAGGGAGAGGAAAGGCTCTTGGTGGTGGTTAACTTGGAAAGGTTTTCTTTGGGAAGGTTTTGTTTTCCCTGTTCAAGGGTTTGACTTAAAGTCTGCAGCTTATACGGCGATTCAAGTGCAAGTGAAGTCAATGTACTGGCCTGAGTACTGCACAAAACTTTTCTCCCATGGATGGATGGATGGACCGTGTGAACTGTTTTCATCCACCATCTTCATCTGCTGCAGGACAAGTTGAGCTGATCTGCTTTGCCAAAGGTTGGGTAATGTAGCCAAGTCTTTACTAATATACAGAGGTAGATATTCCGGTCCAGAAAGCAAAAATCCAGAGCAAGATTTCATTTCACCCAACCAGCTGAAGTACTTACAGTCACAGAGTACTTCAACTGCTTGGGCGAAACGAAATCTTGATCTGGAGTTTTACTTTCTGGACCTGAACTATCCACCGCTGCCAATATATACAAAACCAGTCAAAAGTTTGGACACACTAACCCATAGAAAAGTTTATTTGGACTATTCTCTACATTTAAAAATAATTATAAAGACATCAAAACTGTAAAATAAAATATGTATGGAATTATGCACTAACAATAAAAAAGGATAAAAGGGGAGACAGCACTGTGGGTCGGGACTCAAAAGGTTGCTGGTTCAAATCCCTGGGATGGCAGAGTGATCCCACCATTGGGCCCCTGTACGAGGCCCTTAACCCCAATTCCTCCAGGGACTGGCTGATCCTGTCTCCCGTATACCAGTTTCATGAGGTGGCCTCCTGGGATGCTTTTCCAGCCGTCCTATAAACGCTGAGCTCTTATTGTCCACGTTTCCTTCATTCTCTGGTCTAACTCCTCTAAAATTTCTGTTGTGTTCAGGTCAGGTGGTCAGGTCATGTGATGCAACACTGGTGTGTCCAAACTTTTGACTGGTACTGTATAAAATATGATGGGAGAAATTATCAGAGGATGGCTCTGCAGAATGGTGGCAGGATCATTCAGAGGAACGTTCCTAATGTGGCAAACAGATCAGTACGTGTAATGAAGGACAGGCTGACTGCTGGGAAGCTGCACAGGGACAGGCTGACTGCTGGGAAGCTGCACAGGGACAGGCTGACTGCTGTGCCGGTCCTGTTAGAGTAATAGCAGGCAGCCCTGCGGCCATAACATGCCCACATCCGCCGCTACCAGCTCATTTTCAATTGTCTTTCATACCACTTCATGTAAAGGTGGGACGACCTTTTCCATCCTAAATTTAGATAATCTTTGTTTCGGTAGCCCGGTGACCCATTTCTGGTTATCATATTACTAATTTAACATCCACAACAAAAACTGAGCTATTGACAAACATTGTCGACGAATATTTTCCAGACCGTGTTGAACATGAGAAATGTGCTAGATTAGAAAAATAAAAGTATCACCAAGACACTGGGGGTTGTTTAACTGAACTGATAGGCTGATTTCCTGGCCAGTGCCGGGCCTGCACTGCCAGTGGTTAACAAGTCCCTGTATTTACAGTTGTGCACGCTACCCCCCCGCAATCGCTGACTCACCTCGCCTGACCCGCTCTGCATGTGAACTTGGGACATGTAGAGCACGGGACCCAGCCCGAGCATGGCCTCCCCCTCCCAGCCGCGCACGGCCTCCGACAGGATCTGTCGCTCCAGGTTCTTACGCTTGCGCAGATCCTGACACTGTGCCTGCGTAGCCAGGAGACACAGAGGAGACACTGAGGGCAGGAACCAGCACAAGAGACCATATCAACGCAACGTGCGCAGATGCAGCTGGGGTAGCTGATGTAGCTTGGCCATGGTCAAACGCTTACCTCCTGCCAAAGTGCTAAGAGTCTACCTGGGGCCAATCAGGCAGATCGAACGAATCATTACAAACTGGGGTATAGCAGCCAGTAACAGCAACTACCGATAACGTAATGTCAGCAACATAAATTTCTTAGTTCTTAACGTAACAAAAGTTGACAATGTAATAAGTCGCCAATAATGTAATAACTTTATTATTATGATAACATTTTCAGCAAAAAGTTATGCTACTGGTGAGGAAAATGTATTACATTATTGTAATAAATGTATTACATTACCGGTCAGTAATTATGTTATTGAATGATTATTTCCCTGTTGGGAGATATTACATTATTGGTAGTTACTACATTATTGGCTGCTATACTGGGTACTTTACAAAACAGAAAGGGGTTTTCAAAACCGAGGAAATCTATTTCACAAAACACACAGAATGGTGTACAACGCAACGTTAATTGGATGTCGACGAGAATTCTACTTCGGTAAAATGTCACCTTTGGAGACAGGACACCTACAGCATGTGGAATTACCCAAAGATGATTTTACTGTGAACCTGAGAGAGCTGAAGGCTGCACTCAGGGAGACACCCCAGGTATGGCCTTATGCAAAACGACCCGCTGGAGCCAGAACGGGAACACGGCTCTGCGGCCGCTCCGACAATCCGCCCTGACTCACGAGTTCCTCCGCACTTCTGTAAGACCTCCCTCACGTGGAAACGGAGCTGCCTCTGCTGCTCTCATCCACCTCCTTACGCCGCAACCTTTTCCGCGTCTCAGATACTATTTCTGGTGCTTTCCCCAGCTGCGTTGGCTAACTCTGACAGCACGCGGGGTGCCCAGCCAACTGGGACTCATTTTCCAGAGTCGCGTTTAGAGTAAGCGCCCTGCTTGTTGTTGTTGCTCGCCGCCGCGTTGCCGGGGCGGTCATGTGATAAGGCTGCAAGCACCCGAGTAACCGCGTCCGTGAAAGAAGAGAGCAAACCCCTACCACAAGGTTCTTGAAGGCCGTGGTGGCTTTCAGAATGTCGCTGTAGTCCGGATGGGCCTCCTGAAAGACACACATTTGTAGTAAACAACATTGAGGAACTGCACAGTGTTTTTCTTAGCTTTCGTTATTAGCAAATGTTTTTCGGGCCAGGAAGGGCCACATACCTCCACGTGCCTTTCCAGCTCCTGCAGCAAGGTGGCGTACTTCTCGAGCCTCATGAAGGGCTTGCTCAAGCCTGTGGTCAGCATGAGGATGCCTGGGCTGCTGGCACCCTGGCTCTCCATGAACCGGTCGAGCTCCTCACTGCAGAGTGGACACATGCACAAACGGGAGGCTTAGGTAGCTCAAGCATGCAAGGCGAGGGAATGGGACGAGTGACCCCTCCCCTCCCCATGTGTCCGTCACATAAGAAAGATACAAAATCACATTAGACCACACATACCACTTCTTTAAGGCATAAAATGCAATAACTAAATCAATACTAAATATTAAAATTGCATCCATCCTTCACCATGTTAAAGTTAATTCATATTCAGTCATTTTCGTATGGCTACTGTAAATTTTATTCAGTTTACTGCTGCTTAAAGATCATTTTTCTTACTTTACAAACAAAAAGAAATGCACCTCTATCAGTTTGACCACAATAAAAGACATCTTGTCAGGTTAGAAACAACTTCCTTAGTTTGTCTCCTCAGATACCTTCTTTCAGTTTCAACACCAATTAAAAAGTGCAAATCACAAGAGAAAACAGAGAGGAAGAGGTGATACACAAGTTTCAACAGGATGTTCGATGCAGCTACTGTTTCTACAAAATGCCACAACTGACCTTTATCATTTTTCTCGTACTTCGCTGGAAATACAGGTGGTTTTTCAAAAAAGCTGACTGACAGAACAAAAAACAACATCTTCCAGGGCCAGAGTTCAAGAGCCGTCCCCTGTCACATTACTGCAGCAAGAGCGACACCTACTGGCCGTATTCTGAAGGAGACGCCCACTCTCCGACAGCTTTATTTCTTCGATGACACTGACACGCGATAATATTCTGCAAGCTAACAAACGCATCTCAGCTATGACTGAAATTGCACAGCTTACTCTGTCCCCTACTAACCTTGACACTCAACACTGTGGCACATGGTGATTTTTGAAATAGGGGTAAGATCTTTTCCCTTTTTTAGTAGCTCTGCTACTTATATGTAAACCCTACTCTCCTTTATCAAAGTACTTCTTTAGAATGAAGTCCACAGCATTAGCTGCAGTGTCTGCCATGTTGCTGCAAAACCTCTAGCTCAGTTTGGACACATGAACAGCTTAGTTAACACGCTAACTAGTCTACTAAAAACCACTGAACTGGAAAATTAAACTCAGAACTCAATGATAACGACTTTATTTACCATGTTTACAAATGCCAGTGACGAAAGATGACTTAAGAAAGGAGAAACTGTCACTGGGTTCCAGTGAAATACTTCTGTGCCCCTGCGAGTGACAGAATGACGGAATGCAGCGAACCAACGCCGGCAACACTATGCGCAGGTCGTCAGTCGTGAGCTTTATTCTTATCGGTAGTTTATCGTGTCTCGTGCAGAGAAGGTGACTTCCAGGTGGGTCTAAAATATCTATCTGCAAGTCTGTCTGTCCAATCAACCTTTCCTAAGCAAAACCTACGTCTGAAGCTCTCACAGACTCCCAGTGAAGCACGGCGTCTGGATGGGCTCCGAAATCACGTAATCCGAGCACATTCACGAATAAGCTTTTGTCTATTTCCCATTTAGACAAAGCGTACAAGAATCTTCCAGAGTGTTCCAGTGAAGCACAGTGTCAATACATGTCTGTGGGCATCCTGGCTTTAAAGGGAAAATTAAAGTATATATTGTTGAAAGAATCTTCTGTGAAATTATCAGCATTGCAGTTTAATAACTGAGATGAATTACACTCCTAATGTGAAATAAAATTCCTTTACATGGAGGAACTAATTCAGTTTTTTGGGCAGTTTTTCTGCTTCCCGCGTCTTAGAGGAGTCGCTTACGGGCTGCTGCCATGTAACAAGTCTAACGGCGTGTTGAGCGAAAGAGTGTCGACTTAAATGGCAAGCAAGACATCGCACCTGTGGTCGGTGAGCACGGAGACGGCAGCGGGGTGGCCGGAACAGTAGTTCAGGTAGAGAGGCTTAATCTGGCACATCAGGTTTAGGTAGCACCCCCCCAGACGCTGCTGGGCCTCAGGCATCCTGGGGGGGCAGAGGGGGCAACAGCGCTTTGAAGGTGAGCCGGGCCGTCACTGACAGATCGCTGAGTCATGACCTGATGGCCACACATTAGCACTCCGCTAACACGTGCAATAGCTTCCCTGCTCATACCTTAAGGGATTAAATAACAGATTAATAACACCAGGGGGTGCTGTGACACAGGAAATTAACAGGGAGTAATGCTGAGGGAAGTGAACTAGAACACATGTAGCAGCCAATAATGTAAATAATATAACAACATGCTATTAACATAATAAATCTCAGTTTTTAATGTAACAGAAGTTGATAATGTAATAACTGATCAATAATGTACTAAGTTATTACATTATTGGCCAATTATGACATTATCCACTTTCATTACATTAAGAATGGAAAATTTGTTAGGGTACTGGCAGTTATTACATTATTGGGAGTTATTGCATTACTAGCAGTCACAACACATAAATGATCACATGATCTTCAGACTAAAATAAATGTAAGTGACATTAAAATATTTTGAATGGTCAAGACCAGTGTTTCCTAATCTGTTCCTAGGAGACCCGTAGACAGTCAACATTTTTGCTCCCTACTGGGAGTCAGTGTCCCACCCCCAAGCACCGGGTTGGGAAGCACTGGTCACGACGATAAAATACAGAAACAATCAGGAGGCAGTTAACAGGCCAAAGGCAGTGGCCCCCAGCAGGGGGTGCTCTCTCACTCGGAACCCGGGCTACACCAGCACTCAAGGGTGGGACAGTATGGGCAGCGAGCGGCATCCCCTCCCTCACTCACTTTGCACACTCTTCCAGAGCCACGCAGAAGCCCTGCTGAAAGCTGAGAATGTCCTCCAGGTTCCCCAGCAGGGCGGCACTGTCTGCGCTGGACAGCCTGCGGACCACACATGCACTGATCACCACACCTCAATGTAATGCTTTTCTGTTATGAATGGAAAACCTATCATAGCATAAATGTAAAAATGCAGAAATATACACACGTCTGCTATTAGAACGTGCTAGAAATACATGTTTTGTGGCGAAAACAGAAACACCAAACCCAGAGTACAGGACTTCCCTGATGGGCAGTCTGGGGCCTACTCTACTCTACTGATAATAAGCAGAATCTGCTGGAAAAAACACACCTGCTGCCCAACAGGAGGGTCGGCATGGTGGCTCAGTGGGAAGCTCTGCTTCCTCACACCCGCAGAATGTGGCTTTGAATCCCCCTCGGCGTGTATGGAATTGGGTTCTTTTACACTGGTTTCCTCCCATGGTACAGAGCTGGGCTAAGTGTCTTTTTTTTTTTACATTGCCCATGTTGGGATGCAGCATGCGTGAGCTTGTGTGTGTGTATGTACCCTGTGACAGACTGGCAACCCCCCCACAACCCTGACCAGGATTAGTGGCTAGAAGATGAATGCTACAGTACCAGTCAAAAGTTTGGACATGCTTACCCATAGAAGGGTCTATTTGTAGTTTTCCCCACATTTTAGAATAATTATAAAGACTATAAAATAACATGTATGGAATTACATACTGACCAAAAAAGTATTTAAAAAATGTATTTGTTTGGGAGGGGGGCAGCTCTGTAGGATGGAACTCAGAAGTTTGCTGGTTCCCAATCCCTGGGTCGGCAGAGTGATCCCACCATTGGGCCCCTGAATGAGGCCTTAACCCCCATTGGTCCAGAGACTGGCTGATCCTGTCTCCTCTAAACCAGTTTCATGAGGTGGCCTCCTGGATGCTTTTCCAGCTGCCCTGAAGGAGGTCCTACAAATGCTGAGCTCTCATTGGCCGCTTTTCCTTCACTCTCTGGTCAAACTCCTCCAAAACCATTTCTATTGTGTTCAGGTCAGGTGGTCAGATCATGTGATGTGACATTCCATCACTCTCCTTTGTAGGCGGCTTGGCGTGTCCAAACCTTTGACTGGTACTGTACACATATATTAGAATCACTGTCTCCTCTCCTTACTTTTCACTGGTCAGCAGAGGGCGCAGGTAGCAGCCAAGCATGTTCTGCAGGTCTTTCACAAACCCACGTTCATGCTCCAGGATGTCCTGCACCACCTGACGAGAGGGACAGTCAAGGGGGTGAGCAGGCACCCGTCACAGGTGCTCCGATTCATGACCAGCATAACCAGTCACTCTCTCAGGTCTTCCTGTGTCCACATGTGGGCTTGCTGGGATGAAAAAGGCTTCTCTTCTCTGATCAACGGTACCAGCCTGATGGTGAAAAGACCTCAGCCGCGTCTTGGTTCTACACCTCAGAAAAGGATGTAGGTCTGCTTTGGTGTTTTGGAGCAGAACGGCCTTTGTTAACATGAATCAGGGGACAGGGATAATGTCTCAACTGATAATGAGTCTGACTATGGATCAGAAGATTCGAGGTTTGACTCCAGCTGGCTTGGTTGACACTTCTTGAGGGCAGCGTGCGACTCAGCAGGCTAAGCTTTTGTGCCTGTGATGGAAAGGTCTCTGGTTTGAACCAGACCTCAGCAGAACGGTCATGTCTGTGGGCCCTTAATCCCCAGCTCCATGGATGCTGCTACAAGTGGCTGCCCTTCACTGCCAAGCTCGCTCTCACCTCCGTGTGTGTGTGTGTGTGTCATGGAGAGCAAGATGGGGTAGATGAAAAGGGAATTTCTCCATGGGCATCAATAAAGTGCCATTATTATTATTATTATTATTATTTTATGTGATGACACTTTCCTAAGGGTGGTGTTGTTGGTGCACAATCGACTATGGACCTCGGTCGCTTCACTCACCACTCCGTAGTAGTTCTTCGTTAACTGAGGCAGGTCAAAGCCTTTGGCTGCCTTCGGGGACATGGGCTTCTCTGAAGTCGAAAGGGGAACCAGGCATAAGATCGCAGCACGAACCGGCAAGTGAGAATGACGCAGACTCCAAGTGACGATGACTCTCTATAGTGCTCCAGTTTAACAAGGAGATTCATGGTAGACTAGTGATTTAATAGAAGAGAAACTCAGAACACGTGAAAATAAAAGTACTGACAAAAAGTAGATTTCATCACTATAATGCAAACATCGATCCACTCAAACGCTCTACACAGTGTACATAGATACTGCATGATGAAGTATCTTTCGAAGGTCAGAAAGATTCTACTACACATTAGCAAACACCCTGACCTACTTTGAAACTGTTTTTAACTAGTTTGATACTAATGTGGCCAAACTTTAATGGAATTCATGTGAGGACATGCATTTCAGTTTAGATACACAAAGCACTTCACTTAAACCCATACAGATGAAATTCTAATACCGAACCATTAGACCAGTGTTTTGCAATCCGGTCCATGGGGACCCACAGACAGTCCATGTTTTTACTCCCATCCAGTTCCCTACTGGACTATCTGGCTGGGAGCTTGGAAGGAGCAAAGACGTGGAACGGCTATGGGTGCCCGAAGACCGGATTGGGTCTGCATTAGACCGCCCTGTGACCAGGGTGTCACCATAACCCATATATATATATTTATTATGCAGTTCCTTTGAGGCCACAAGGCATTCTAATTGCATATAATGTAGACAGATATCATGTATGTGCAGATGGCATTTCTGACTGACCCGACGGCTTGACCTCCCGCACGTAGTTGCTGGGGAACCAGCCCGTCTTGCCATTGAGCGTTCCCTCCCACCAGCCACCCTCCTCCTGCCGAGTGACGTTGATCAGCTCGCCCTTGTTGAAGGAGAGCTCGTCCTCGTTGTTCTGCTTGAAGTTGAAGCGGGCCTTCACCACCAGCTGGGTGGCGCCGCCGCTGTTCTCAGCCATGTCCTGAGGAGAGACACATGGGACACTCAGCTCAGCTTCACCGCTGAGCCGCGAAAAGCGCAGGGAGAGAGACGGCAGGTTCCCTCACCGCGGCCTTGGAGGGTCTGCGCTGACTCTTGGTGGACTTGAGTGCAGACAGGGACGAGGATGACTGGCTAGCGGCGGGGCAGGTCGTACGAGGGCATGGTCTCTCCACAACGAGGTCTGCGGGGGACAAACTCAGCCATGGACACGTTTCCCAAAAGGTCACGTTAGCGACTTACCGTTCAAGTTGCATGGGTCCGAATATGTAAGCTGCTAAAGTTGCTAGTTGCTAGTGACTATGCTTCTGTGAAACGCCCCATGACAGACCAAATTTCAGCAGAAGCTCAGAAACACATCAGGAACATCAGCTTTGTGGTGGAATGGAGAAGCTGCTGATCTCATCTTGCGCCATTTGAAAGTAACAGTTATTACAGACAAGTCCAAGAGGGCATAACCCTCCTTCACGAAACGTGACATGTTCTGCCCAAAGAATATCATCTGTTATTTTTTTTCCTGAAAACTAGGAAAACTTCTGGACGAAGCTGCAGTTTTATTGCTACTCGAGAAAAAACATCACAGGTCTAGAAGAAATGTTGCCCGTTACGGTTCGTGTTACACAAAATGGTGACTGTGGCCAGATGCACCAGGCAGCTGTTGAGGCGTCAGCAGCACAGACAAGCATGATGTAGTCAGATCTGCTCTCCTGACAAAGCCCAACTGATGGAGATCAGGGCTTCTTCTCAGGAACATTGCCATGTAACTGCTCATATGCGTTTTACTTTAGCCCCATACTGAGTCTGCTCATTCACTGCTCCTGGAAACATCCATGGCCAGGTTCTGTTAGTGCTATTGCTGGTAGTGTTAGAACTGATATGCTACTGGTGCTGTACAGCCTGTGTATCACTGTACATCAGAAGTCGTGAACATAGACGCTCTTTAGTAAAAACGTTCAAATAATAATGCAAATTGGACTTACTGAAAATACTGTAGATGAAGTTTTATCAACAAAGCAGTACGTTTCCATTTTAGAACTGCATTGTGATCTTACTTTAAATAAAAATATCAGCAGTTTTAACAATAACAGCACTGTCAAACACACCACCCGTGAGTCCAAAGCTGCCCTGTAAAGGGTCTAATCTGGCCCGCAAGACATTAAAATACAGACACACTGCTCTGAAAAATCCCACATTACTGTATTACAAGTAAGAAACTGTTATTGTTAGTGATATGAAAGATTTCAGATCTTGCATGTTTTTACATGTTTTCTTTACTCATTAGCACTTGCTGAATAAGTGTGCTGCAATTAACTGTGTAGACAGCACTGGATGCTGCCCACAGGGCCACCTTACCCTAAGATCACTGGCCGGAAGTCAAAAAGCAGTCAAACAAAAGATTGTATATAAATACCTTTTCTACCCTCTATGATGAATTTGAAGAATGGTTGACAGAGAAATACTGGCATTTATATAATTCCTCGCTACAGGATTATAAAGACTCCCAGATGGCTACAAACTAAAATAAAATATACTTGCACTCCAATGTCACATACAGTGGTGCCTGCGGGTCACAAACACACACAGTTCCAGGAAAGTGGTTGCGAACCAATTTGTACACAAACCAAGGCAATTTTTCTTAATTACTTCAGGTTTTCATAGTAAAAACTTTAAAGAAAAACACAGTATAGTGTGGCCACGGGCGGACCGAGGCATCGCGGAAGCAGAGACCTGGAGAAATCACGCTCTTTATTAACAGTCCTTAAAACGGCCACAACAAACACCCAATGAGCACCGAATTATTTTCATTTGAAGTCTAATTTAGTTTTAGGTGTGGTTTCATTCATTGTTTTTTCCATTACATTTTTAGTTTTAACCAATATTACAGTTTATTTATTATTTTCATAGAAGGACAATTTTCCTTTCCCAACCGCATCTACACCTTCTCTGAGTTCCCACTCCAAAACAAACCAAAGAGGCAATTAAGAAGAGATGATAAACAAGAAGTAGTACAAAAATAAACACATAAATAAATAATCCCTTACTGTATTAGCAGATCCATAACAGGATCCATAACATCGCTTAATCAATATACCTTTTTGTATACTTAAAAAATATGTGATTTGCTCCATCTGGTAGATTTCCCATACCTTCTGGATCCATCCATAACTTATGTGTGTGTGGGGGGGTCTGGTTTCATTCATTTAATCTCCCCCCTAGATCATCAGGAATTACTCCATTAGCAAATATTTAATATTTTGGTATGTATTTTATAGGGATGGGCCGATCCACATTTTTTCAGTTCCGATTCGATTCCGATACAAAACTGCCAATACCGAGAGATTCCAATACAAGAGCTTTTCATACTTTAATATTTTGATATAATAAATGTATATATTTATACTTTATATATTATTAGTATATTTTTTAAAGTAGTGAATACAAATGAAAAAGTGTATGCCAAAAAATGTTTAATTAGGCTACTAGAAACATACATAACGCTCTGTTCCATCTTGTTTGTTGTAAGCATTTTTGAGGCATTTGCCGTTCAAGTGGAATATATCTTCCAAGCGAGGATACTAGGCATGTAACGATTAATCGCGAATCGGTTAAAAATCGATGGAAATGTATGACGATTTCAACCGGCTGATGTGGAAAATTAATCGCTACTTTAGGAGTACTTGACGGTACGTTACTTAACAGAAAAACTGGTGTAATATTACATTTGATTGTTTAATTTTTTTTCGAAAGATAAATAAAGGAATATTATTGAATAAATTTATTTGCAGCTCATTCTGTTAAAAAATCATCGTATCTCGTACCAGATCGTGAGTTGAGTGTATCGTTACTATGGAATATTATTTAGCACTTCATAATTATATGGAATATTATTTAGCATTTCATAACACATAGAGAATGTAATCATTAGGCCTCTATTAAGAAGCTGATGTAAACTGGGTAGAGAGTGACTTTGTAACCTTCAGAGAATGCTGACCAATTACTGCTGTGCACAATGTGGTAAAAAAAATAAACAAGTATGAATGAGCACCTTGTGTTGGCTTAGAAGTTTCTGTATCTGTTAGCCATTTTGTTAGCCTTTAGTGTATGAATATGTACTTTATTAGTGCTGCAGCTTATCACTATGTTGAAGGACATATACCTTATTAACCTCAAGCCAGACAATCCGCAACAAGCAGAAACTGCCACGGTTTGCTACTGAAGGAAGGGATTCGCCTGAGTTCACCAAAAGTTCACGGCTGGGCATTTTAAAAAAACTGAGTAGAGATGGTCACGTCACCATTATGTTAGACCGAGGCACCAAACAGTAAAAGAGATGATTGACAAAATTTATCATATAGGGGTGTGGATTAAGGGAGAAAACAACGATGGTGATTGGTTGAGGGAATGATGATGCTTAAGTGGCGAGGTATTGTTACACAATGAGAAAATGTATAAAAATTGGTGTAAAACAGTAATGGACACACTTTGTGTACAGCCTTGGTTGTAACTTCATTGTTGCAATAAAGACTGAATTTGGATCTACATCAGCGGTTTCTGACTTCTGATTGGGCAGGGAAGGAAAAACCACAACATTACTTCACCGTCACCGCCTTTGTTTTTACGCTTCTCTTGCTGCGAAGGGTATGCGCATGACATCATAGCAGGTGGAAGTCATTGCACTCACCCACTGAGTGGCAGAAAACCTGAGGCAGTATTAGTGTTCAGCTTCAATGCTGCAAAAGACTTGCGTAAAATGGGAAAGAGCTGTCGTGTGACTGATTGTACAAACTCAAACTGATTTAACAAGAAATAGGAGCTATCTTTTTACAGATGCCAAAAACTAAATGAGTAAATATTGGATATGGATCGGTCGCATATGGCCAATAACCTATCTGTCTAATAGGTCTGGATCAGTGCCGATACTGTTTGGATTGTGCATCTCTAAAATTTTACTTTACTTTTAGTGATTTATTTCGAGGGATAGATGGAAAGTTGTAGGACTTTTGCAGGCTACTATAAAATGTCACAATGCAGTGCCACTGGCTAATTCTATGGGGTAAATGCACTGCATGAGACCCAAAGATTAACAAATAATTAATTTAGTGAAAAAGTATTGAAAAATGGTAATGGGAAGTAACTTGAGTTTGTTTTTATTTATTTCAGTTGGTGTCTGAACAAATATTTATCATATCTTATTTTGTTTCAGTTTTGTTTCATGTTTCCATTAACGGTTCGTTTTAGTAAAATTCTTATTTATTCTTATAACATCCATAACACACTTCATAAACGTGACTTCTAAGAGCAGCTTTGCTCTACAGCGCCACCCCAGGCATGGCGTCAAAGTGCATGGTTAGCTGGTTCAGTGGTGCTAGAAGTATGAACGTTCAGGATTGAGGATGGTGCATCGCATGTGCCACAGTACGCATGTTTTCTCGTGAAGTATAAATCCTTAAGTTATGCTTGCGACAGAGAGCAGAGGAGAGGGCAGAAGCAGTGTGTGGCTCAGTGGGTTAAGCCTCTCTGCCTGTGATTGTAAGATTGCTGGTTTGAGGCCGACTTGGGAAGAATAGCCATGTCAGTGAGCCCTTGAACAAGACCCTTAACCCCCTGCTCTCATGGCAGGTGGCTGCCCTTCACCGCCAAGCTTGCTCTCACCCACATGTGTGTCATGGAGAGAAAGATGGGGTAGGTGAAAAGGGAGTGCCCCAACAGAGATCACTAAAAGTGTCATTATTATATTGCACGATAAGTCAATAACAAATATCATGACAGACTGCTGATTAACTGCGCAGACGGCACTGGATGTCAGCTACAGGGTCACCTCACCCTAGCAGACCACAGATCACTGAAGCTCTGCTAAGATGCACTGTCACAGTCTATTACCAGTAATTCTTAATCTTAGGTCATACTACTAATCACGCCGTTGACGTTCTGTAAGGATCTGAGAGGGCTGCGTATATGGGGGGGAAATGTAGGTTACAGCTTACAGCTCGACGCTAACGAGGCGAAACATCGTAATTATGTTCTGCTGTTGCCCGGGATCCCAAGCTACTCTCAGAGAATGCCCTTGAGCCAAGGGAGTAAAAAAAGAAAAATCCCAAAGAAGTCCAAGGGGAAAAAAAAATAGGACGCAAGTGGCATCTCTAAGGCACATGGTGAGTCTTCAAGGAACGACATTTAATCCCAGATACACTCACACAGATGGTGTATATAGCTACACGGCCCATGCGGGGCTTTACTGTAGGGTGGTGACCACTTCCAGCTGGCCCTGAACTTCCTGCCTAATTTATATGTTGATGTTTCTTTTCCCCAAAGACTCCAGTTGCCCATGCTGTTTTGTTTGTTTTTCCGATCTCTGCTAAAATGGTTTCCTTTTCCGCTCTGTGAGTGCTCTTCCTTAATTTGGTGAAGCACCCACGCCCCTCGCTTCTGGCTGCCTCCCATCACCCTAAGGGCCAGTTCATACCCACTGCGGACGCGCCACAGCGAGCACTGCAGTGCCAGACCGTCCGCGTTCCTGCATGTTCACACTTACTGCGCCAACACGCCTGGCACCCGCGTACTTTGACGTCAGGCCAGGGGTGGCGCTGTAGAGCAAAGTTGCTCTAGGTCATATTTATGAAGTGTGCTATGGATGTTACCATAAAAATACTGGTGCACCGATGTGGAAATGTGGAAATTTTGACCAATACCGATAGATTGTGCACGATATTCCAATACCGACAACTGGCTAACCTGAGCCGCTTGTACCATCGGTGAAACTTGCGGACCTTGCTGGTGCAGACTAGCAGAATGATGCTACATCATTTTTTATTCTGTGGAAAAGGAAAGATTGATCGGTGGGCCAGATTTAATAATGAATTATAAACATGTTGTGGGCCAGTTTCACATGAAATCACTCATCCTTCACCTCTTGAAAGTAGCTGATCTAATACAACCATCTTTATTATTTTAAAGTCTTTAGCTCTGATCAACCAAGATCAACACACTGGACTGATACAGATATCGTGATGTTTTTGACAAATATTGGCCAATACCGGTGTCAGTCAATATACTGCACAAAATAAGTTTTTCATGAAAATCAAGCGATGTGTTATATACTTTTGGTACACAAGGACATAGATAGGTATATAGAGTTGAGGTTATAAACATGAACACTAGTTGCCAAAATTGTGAAAACACTTCTAGTTTTTAGAGATTGCAGAACTTTATTCCAGTAACTTATTTAATCGTTCAGTGTATGATATTTGTAAACATTCTTTGATTGTTTATAAACATTACTGCCAATATTCATGTAGTAATATTTAAAACGTCATGCCAAAAAATGCTAGGTGTTTCCACAATTTTGGCCACTGGTATATTTCATGTGGTAGTAAGGAATCATAAAGATGCCGGTTTTTCCCTACTTCGTCAGCTAGCCTTTCTTCCAGTCCACTAGCTGTGTTTGTTTTCAATCTAATACTACACTGTGTGCAGAATTATTAGGCAAGTGTGTACTTCACTTGTATCTTCTCAACCGACCAATACTTTCAGTCCAGATGAATCTCTAATTAAGGATCAACTGTTTAAAAAGAGCAAAATGTTCAGTATGTGGTCTGAATACTTTCTGCTTGGATAAAAACAGGAAAACATAGATACTTTCCTGTGCAGAATTATTAAGCAAATTACTATTACTATTAAAATGGGCCAAAGAGGACCTTACAGAGAGCAGGAAATAAAACAAAATAGTAAAGTACTAGTCAGAGGGATGCAAAAGATTTTTGAAATGTGATCACTGTACAATCACGTGTTTTGTTGCCAACAGCCAAAAAGGACTGAAGAGGCTTGTAGAGAGAAGATGACACTTAACACATAAACTGCCGCATCAAATGGCATCATTTTTCAAAACTGCAATCTGAATAGAATCTCCAGACCTTCTAGGTGCAGTGAGCTACGTGACATTCCTAAGGTCATAAACGCTGAAACATGGCCTCCACTCAATAAGGCTTGTAAGGTATAACACACGGACACATCTCAAGACTAAAAGTTTTGGGGACAGATGAGATGAAAGTGACTCTTGATGGAGCATAATGGATGGGCCAGTGGATGGAGATCCTCTTCAAGCACCAACAAGGTGATGGAGGAGAGATGACGTGGACTGCAATTATCAGTGATGAACTTGTCATACCTTTCTGACTTGCTGATTGTGTAAAAATTAACCACAAGGTCTACTGCCAGTTTCTAGAAGATACCTTCTTCAAACACTGGCACAAGAAGAAGTCAGCAGCTTTCTAAGAGGTTATGATATTCCTGCAAGACAATGCCCCTCCCTATGCATCAAAGTATTTCATGGATTGGCCTAGAAATGCTTGAAACATGATTGAATTATGACCTGCCCCCCTTCATCGCCTGACTCAACCCCATTGAGAACTACTGGGCCTTACCAAAGTGTGAGATTTACCAAAGTAGCAAGCAGTACCCTTCTCAGAGAAGCCTCTAGGGGGTGGTCCTAGCTGGCTCAGCTAATATAGGACAGGATCAAATCAAAAACCTGATTGGTTCAGTGGGCAACAGGCTCATGATGGTCATTTACAAGAAAGTTGGCTGTACTGGGAATTAAACTGGGTGAAGTGGGCTGTATAGAATGGCTGATAGCTTGTTATTCCTTATATATACTGAATAACAAAAAAATGTTTATTATTATTATTTCTGATGATGGTTAGAGAAATTCCAGTTTCTGATCGCCTAATAATTCTGTACACTAATAATCAAGCGTTTTTCTTTTTTTTTTTTTGTGAAAGTCAAATGTAACATTTTCTCTCTAAATAAATTTACTTTGTGTACAAGAAAGCTTCTGAATTCATTTTTATAAGTCTGCCCAACTTCTGCTAAAAATGATCTCCAGGAATAGTACTTGCCTAATAATTCTGCACACAGTGTACATACCATGTATATACCATCTGCGGTCTAGTCTCCTTTCTGATTTCCTACTACATTTCGTCTGCCCAATGAACAATGAAGGCGTGCTGCGTCACAGAACAGACTGTCTGCGTCATTTCAGTTTTCAGGTGGTATGCGGCCTCATGCACAGCCCCCAAACGCAGCCTCTGCACCCGACGTCTGCGATGAGAAACACAACAGCCGCGCGTGAGCTCTGTAGCGTGTCCGGACCCGCAGTAAGTATAACCAGCCGCAACCAGGGGTCACACCACAAATACAGCCTCAGTGTTCTCTGCCGTGATTCCCCGACTCACCCACATACACGGCGCATGAAACCAAGCGGTGTCTGTCCGACCCGTCGCCATTCACACCCCATTACCGGGGAAGGCCCTCTCCCCCGACCCTCTGAGCTCTGCTAACAGGATCAAGGCTAGTGCCAGTTTGCACACCATATGTACGGCGTGAGAGATGAACGTTATGGAGAGCTGACAGATGGCATGTCTCTTCCACACACCGCACACGAACACATGGATACCCACAGAGGGACCGCAGCCCCCGGTCCATAGGTGAGCACAGAGCTCCTCAATGCCAGACTCTTCAGACTGTGCCCCCCCCCCCATACCCCATTCAGGGTTAAAAAGATTTAAAAACCTTAAGGTCCTGCTCATCGAAAGATTCCCACCCACAAATATGAAGCGCATGACCGGCAGGGCCACGAAGTCCGCTGTCCTGCACCATCTGCTGGACACATGGTCATTTGGAAAAGAATCTGCCTTAGGCTCTGCCAGGGACCTGTCCGAAACCTGCCCCCACCCCTCCAGAAGGGTGGAACCGGCATGAAGGCCTCGGTGGACAGTTGGACAGCAAACCTTCTACGGTCATCACAGGGACTGACACCCACAAAGCCTGAAACCTCCTGAAATTTCCTGTCTGGAACTCATAGATAGATAATAATAATAATAATAATTAAAAAAAATAAAATAATAATAATAATAAAAAACTTAACAAAATGCAATTCTATTCACCGAAGTATTTCTGAAGCTGAATTATACTGTAAAGGCAGCTGCATGACAGAGGGCGACATGATAGTTGCAAGCTGAGGTATATAATAAGTAAATGTTGCCACCTTACGCTTTAATGAGCTTTGATAATAAAACACTGAATAGGCCACAGAAGTCAGCTGGTTCCACACATGTCTCGGTTTGCCCCCCCCCCCCCCCACCCCCCAGCAACTGGTTCTAAAACGGCGCTTGTTTGATCCGCAACAGAACGAGAACAGAGTTTTGTGAAACTAACTGCACTGTTGGATTGTTAGAAAAAGACAACGTGATTTTCACAGCGTGCATTCCTTACAGGTAAAAAAAAAAACAAAAAAAACGCCTTGAACATTTTGGCTCTTGATCACACTGATAAACAAACACTGTTTACGCATATTTCTCTTATCTTACTATGGCGACTCGTTTTCCACTCGATGTTTTGATTTAATAACACTACAGTGCTGCTGCGGGCTGCCTGGTATAGGATTTGCCTCATGTCTTATTTCCTATCAACTTCTGTTGCTAAAAAAAAACATATTCTCAGATGGTTACTGTGTGCATCTGTCAGTCTCAGGTTTGATGTTCATGTACTGGTTCCTAATTTGTGTGGGAAGCCCCACTGTTTTAAAGAAACCATTTATGTGTCTAACACTGGCAGTTAAGCTATAGGGGTAATATCATTCAGCTAACTAACCGAGGCCATTTAACTTCAAGTATGTGGTTAATAACTTGTTAAAAAATACCGATATTTAAAACTAACAAAGTGCTGTGTCAAATATTCTTCAGAGTAAGACTGCGGCAGCAAATCCAGAGAGTACAATTTGAAAACTGCAAGCAAACATCAGCATTACTGGTCACTGGTGCATGCCCCAGTTACTATGGCAACAGGGCACTGGATGTCCAGCTTAAGTCTTACCTTGAGTAGCGTAATTTACAGCCAGGAGGGTCGACAGGATCTGGCTGAAGTTCTCACCAGTGTACAGGTTCTCTGGCTCAAAACCCTGGATGAAATTCAGGGACAAGAAGAGTATAGAACAAGTTTTAGATGGTCAACATCTGTGGGATTTCACACAAACAGGTACTGTAGAAAATTACATCAGAAATGTAAATCAAGATGATGGTATGCAACAAATACACCTGTCCCAGAACTTACGCGCGTTTGCTGTGCTCATTTTTACCCCTCCAAACCTGACAACTAACACCAACATTCCTACTTCTGAACACCATCTAGAGTTACCCAGACCTTTGTGCGTGCTCTCCAAATGGCCGTGGATCCCCAGCGTGCCCCCTGTCACTCCCCATCATGTCCCACAGCCACTGCCTCGCTTCTCATCGCTCTCACCCACTGCCTCAGGCCTCGCCTCTCATCGCTCTCACCCACTGCCTCAGGCCTCGCCTCTCATCGCTCTCACCCACTGCCTCAGGCCTCGCCTCTCATCGCTCTCACCCA